TCACTGAATCGAAATGGACCACGGTCATCCGAGGGGCGTGACGTAGGGGATGAAGCCCATCTTGCAATCGAAAGTCCATTGGGTCTGGGATTAGGGCCGGGATTTCGGCCCTATTATTGGCGGTCAATTTCTGCCGTCTTGCCCTAATTAAACCTAGGTCGAGGGAATGACGGGGAACATCTTTTGGCCGTCCAGCCGCCATTAAGGCCATTTCGTCCTCAGATTTTGTGCCATCAGAACTTTCACCAGAGGAAGATGAAGTGCTAGGAGGGTCCTCCGCCTCAGCCCTGGTATTTGTCGCCGTTTCAGTAGAACCACCGGCGAATGGGACTGTGATGACATCCACAATAGCGGAGTCACGGTCATCTCCACGGGAGGCCATCTCCGAATCAGAAGAATGATGTTGAGGACTTATCTCGATCGAGCCAGAAATGAGGATAAGGAATAGAGGGAGGAAAGGTACCTGAGCGACGGAAGCTGGGAGAAAATTCAGAGGAAGCAACGATGCGAGGGAGATTACGGAATCGAAACCCGGATTTGAAAGGTTAAGGGCTAATTTATAGCCTTGAAACCGCCGTATCAAGAATCAATCAGGGAGCAACACGTCACTAGAATCATTCACCTTTTCAGTGGTTGCCGACTTGCATATAAAACAGTTTGAGACGAAGGGTTTTCGGCTCACAATAGTGCAGTAGAGACAGAAATATTCTTCCGCTACTCAGCACTCTTCTCCAGACAGCCTTCTCCTTACACCAGTTGGGGTTTTTTGTTCCGCAGAAATTCGTTCATGCGGCTTGAATATTCGTGGAACGTGAGCTTCGTGTGGCTTTCCCTCAGGAGTTTTGAACGTGAGTGGAACGCAAGTGAGGTGGGGGTGCGGCTTGGATTTTTGGGGGCGAAGAAACACAAGGCAACATGAAAGAAATTTCATCTACACCCCGGACATGGATTTCCGTGGCAAACCTCAAGGAGCAAATTAGCGAGCATAAGAACGATAGGGTTTCAGACGAATTTTTCGGGAGTCGAAATTCTTTTCTCGCATACTACAGTAGCTCGTCCTCATCCGGAACCACCTCCGTGTAAGGAAGCAATTCGGGGAAAGTTTTTATTTTCGTATTATTTTTCCTTTAGTAGTACTTGTTTTTATTCCAGCTGGAGTATTGTATTTTGATTTTTGATGAACTTTTGATAGACAATGCTTCATTTTCGATCATTTTAGGCTTATTCTTGCCCGTTTGTGTCTAGCGAGTCGAATTTCTTTGTATAAGTGACCGACTTTAAGTCTATTCCTAAAATTTACAATCATGTATGTGATAACTGTCTAGTTATTTTCTTGCATGTTTGCTCTATATTCATGAAAGACGTTTTTACCCTTTCCCAAATAAAGGGAGTTGCTAGGCGCACCCGGCACCCCATTCATTACTTAAACTAACCCCAACATGACAATTTTAACCTTTGTTCTTTAATCGATTAAAATTGCTCCTTGAAGGCTTGAAGCTTCACACGTTGACACGACACTATCCAATTTTAATCAATTGCAAAATTAACTCTACAACTAATTATAATAGTTTCGTGCAAATAATTGATTTTTTTCTAAAATATCATACAAAGTATCTTTTTCATTTGTACTCCAACCATTACAAAAATATATCGCAGAAAATAATTTTTTATGACATTTCATATGACATCAATATTACATATAAAAAAATATTTTAGTCTTATCTATTAAGTTTGGTCAGATAAATGACAAGTGAATGTGAATTTTACTATTATTTAAATATGTTCTTGTTTAGCGTGATCTATTTTAGTTTAGTCTAATCTTGTCCAATTTATTTAAATTTGATCTAATTTGGGATCGAAATCAGTCAAATTAAAAACATCCTAAATGTCATTTATATGTGTGCATTCCACGCATATTATTATCTCATGCATTAAAACTTTGATATTTATTTCAGTTTTCTTTATACTTACCAATTTTTTGAAATCAATATACTAAAAAAACTTTTCAAATTAATAACTCATTAATTTATCCATGTTTAAAAATCGACCCGGACCGGTCGGGCTGACCCTGACCAAAATCCGGTTCGGTTACTTAAAACCCCAGAAATGGTCAAAACCCGGGAAAACCCGGCCAACCTAGAAAAACCCAGTCCAGATCCGAACCCGAAAATTCGACAAATAAAAAAAAACCGATTTTGTTTTTTATTAAAAAAAGTATTTTTTTTAACTTTTAAAGCATTTTAACCAATAAAATTTCAATTTTAATACCCTAAAAAGAAAAAAATACACTATATATGTATATACTCTTTATTTGTTTAAGAATAAAAATCATGTAAAATTATATAACAAATGTACAATACAAACAACAAATAGAGAGTCTCATTTTATATTTTAATATGACCAAAATGGTATTTTGGAATACTATGAGCCTATTTTAACTTTTAAATGATTAATAAGTCTTATCATTAGTTGATTATTATAAAGTAACTACCTTTTGTTTTAAATTTGTATGCATTTATACATATTCATTATTATTATATGGTTGATCGGTTTTATGGCGTTGACCGGGTTGACCTGACAGGGTCCGGTGGTTGACCCGTGACCCGATAAAGTGGCCGGATCACTTCTTAAACATATTAATTTAGGCATAAAAAATCAACTAATGGCGCATAGTAATTTACCAATTTGGTTAAGTACATTTTTATTTATTAAATACTTCGTATAAATCAATCAAAAAGAGAAAAAAGAGATAATACTACGTCCAAAAGGTTGAATCCCCAACCCCAAGGGCCCTCCCACCCCGACCCGACAGGATGATGGAAGAGTAAATCACGGTGACTCAGTCGGCAAAGCGGCAGTAGGCCTTTACCCGTGCGCACCAGAGGGCCAGCCTTATTTCAAGTTCTGAAAACCCCCTTTTGGCCGCTGCGGGATTCGAACCTTGGTCTACGTCCAATTTTTCCCGCCGCTCGACCAACTGAGCTACCCGTGCGAGTAAGAGATAATACTACATTGCTACGTATGTGAGTTACTAGTTATGTAACGCGCGTTGCGCGTTCGTGGTAATGTCCAACGCCATTGTAGGGATATTGATAAATAGGCAAACAAAAAAGACTGTTATTTGAAACTTTAAAATGACACAAACATTTTCTCAAGACCGTTATACCCTAACAATATTCATGCTTATATAATTGTAGAGAAAGCTCTAATAATTATAAACAATTGTAGAGAAAGCTCTAATAATTATAAACTTTCTCACATGTAAGGAGAAAAAAATAAAAGCACATTTTAACAATAAAAAACTCAAAAACCCACACAAAATAATATACCTAAAAAAATTACCATTGCCAAGAGCAAATGGATGTCTTATTGATGCATGCCATTTTTAAGGGAAATTACCTTAAATAGGACTAAAAACATTTGTATCTTTCAAAATAGGAGTATCGTGTTTTTACTTCCAAAATATGAGTAATCACTGTCATGTATTTGGCAAAACCAAACTTTAAACATGACAGTATTTTTCAAGCTTGGAAATATTTACTCTTATATTGGAAATAAAAACATGACAATCCTGTTTTGGAATTCTCAAACATTTTTACTCATATTTCGGGAATTTTTCATGTGTTTAACATATAAAAAATGTCATTTGTTTAAACTTTCGGAAATGTCCTAACCATTATTCTCTAAACTTCTGAAAGAAATGTTACTTTATTAAACAAAACTTAAGCTTCATTGTGACGGAAGAATTCTAAACCAATATAGCACTATATATAACATCAAATTCCTTACCCTCCATGGTAACATCACATTATCCCATTCCTCTAACAATGGGACATGACGAGGTGACACAGTTATTGAGAAACGTGAGTGTATGTGGTTTATATTGAATTGATCGATAAAATAAGAATAAAGTCATAATTATTTAAAATCACACAAATTTTTTACTAAATTTGGAATGTAACAATTTTAGTGGGAGGTATCGACCAAAAAGGAAAGATGAGCTAATTTTAGCGGAACGGAGGGTGTAATATTTTTGTTCATAATTCCCGATTTTTATTTTAAAGGATGTATAATATCTCTATTGTTGCAAAAAAAAATTGAAACTACAGCACATTAACAATCAATTGAATAGACGTATTACTAAAAGTGGCTCGAGTCAAATTAAAATTTAGAGTAGAAAAAATGATATCTAAACAATCAAAGCATCATAGTTACTGTAGTGAGACGGTCCTTAACTTAAAGTAAAGGGAAAAATAATTAAAATACCCCAAACTTTGATGGAGTGTGACATAAGCACCTCAAACTTACATATGTTATTCAAATACCCCAAACTTCGTATAAAAAGTTATTTTTAGCACCATGGTCATGTATTATTTTTTTCAAGACCTGGGGACGTTCGTCCCCACGGGGATGAACGTCCTCACCCCCTAGTCATTTACGTCCCCCTATAGGTGCTCATGGGGACGAACGTCCCCGCGTCTTGAAAAAATAATACATGACCATAGTGCTAAAATAACTTTTTATATAAAGTTTGAGGTATTTAAATTATATATGCAAGTTTGGGGTGCTTATCTCACACCCCATCAAAGTTTGGAATATTTTAATTATTTTTCCCTAAAGTAAATGTTATCAACGTGTATCCAAATTTCATCCCATTTTAACCTAAACTCGTTGTCCAAAACCGCTTTTGTGCGTCATGATTAGATATGGACGAATGATCCACATGGATATAATTTAAGAGAATCACAATTAATGATAGCTTCAATCTAATTAATTAGTTTGGTGGAACCGTGGAAGTAAATGATTGGCTAGCCAAGTAGATAAGGAGAAATGAATGGGTTTTCAAGAGATCTTCACTTTGACAGAAAAACTAACGGGAATGTAAAGAGTCATGTGAGGTACAACAATTTAATCATTTTGTACAATTATCAATTGCTTTGGGATACAACCAACACATTTTATATGCCCAAAATGCCCTAACCCTTATTCACTCTTATAAGTTTGAGGAAAATGGCGCAACAAAAGAAGCGCAGGACTAAATTGTCCGATCCCGTACAATAGTGGGTGCGCCGAGATAGACAACGGCCCAAGTTTCTGTAGTCCACGTTGAAGACGCAAGTCGCAGACTTTGGTCCTTCCAAATTCCGATCACCCGTCGTCTTTTGTTGCTCTGTCACTCCGACTCGGCCACGCATTCACGCCGGTTGGTGTTCGCCGCCGTAATACCCGAGTCCGCAACCAGCAATTCTCTGCCGCAGACCGCAGTGTGCTAGTGCCTCTACTCGCTGGTCTTCCGGTTTTAGATTTTTAGGTATGTTTTTTAGTTTCAGTTTAATATTGTTACATTTTTTATTTCAGCTTTATCTGCACAATTTGAGTTTTTTTAATAGTTCAGAAATCTACAACCTTGTTTTTAAATTCCGAGTCTGAATGCTGCTAAGTGCCTAAGACCTGGTTTATATCCGGATTGCTGCCTAAAACCTATAACCTGCTTTTTAAGTTTGAGGGCTTATATGAAGCTGCTGACCTGCCATAGAGGATTTCTACTCCATATTTTTTAATCTCAGGTATTCGATTTAGGGTGAAATGGGTGAATTGTATAAAGTAATACGGTATTTTTGTTATTTTTTGCTTTGACCAATTTACAATTAATTACATCCAGAACCCTTTTGATAATTCCTATTTTTAGCTTATATGCCTTAACATGCAATTTTTTCTACCAAACAACTAACTTTTAATTTCACACGTAGAATTGTGTAATAATCAAAATAAGTAAGTTAAAGTTACTTTTATTGCCGAATTGAATTGAATGGAAACATTGTAAAGGACCATTTTAGCTATTTTTCCATATAATCTTTTCTTTATTTTAGTAACAATAACAAAATATGTTTTAAATATAATTTTCCCATACGTCAGCAGTTTATTTCATATTAGCATGAATTTCATCAATTTTCGTAGTTTCAGCCACTTCCAATGTTATCAAACGGCTCTTAGTATTAGAGCTCATTTGGTGACACTGAAATTGGCTAAATTGGTTGTCAGACACAAATTCTAAATTTATTTGTTCACAGATTGTATTGTTTCCGCTAAACTTCGCTTATTTCTCAAATATTCAAATTCCAAAAAAGATTGTTCACCTTCGTTGTTTATCTATTTGATGCTTGTCGGAATGCTGCTAGGTTCTTGTTATATTTTTTTGTATTGAACAGTTGCTTTCTACTTTGGAGTTTTTATTTCAAATCAAAATTTCAAGATATTCATTTGCTTCAGTTTTGTCCATTAATAGACAACTAACACATCGTTCACTAAATATGGTGAATCACAAACAACGGTACACTTTCTTGTCTCCCGTGAACCCTGAAAAACTCATTAACTCATGTATACTTCTCTGCAATAAAGGTTCTTCATGCTCGATTTTATCACCAACTGCAATATATTGATTACAAAGACTTTAAATTTATAGTTATTTAGGCAAGATTTTAAGTGTCTAGATTAACCTGGTATGTGTTTTGAAACCTACTTAACACAGTTCTTTTTACATCAATCTTAAGGTGTTGCTATTATTATTAATTTATTATATACTTCTTCCGTCTCTTTTTAGTTGCAACATTCCCTTTTTCACGTTTTCCAACGCACAACTTTGACCGTCATTATATTTAATTCCGTATTAGTAAAAATAAAATAAAAATCAGATTATAAAACTTTGTAACGAGACGAATTTAACAATATTTTTCAAAAAAAAATTCACATACATTAATAAATAAAACGTAGTCAAAGTAGGGTTGGACTCGGGTCCGGGCCGGGTCCGGGTCAGGCCTAGGCCCGGGCGGGCCGGTGGTTCAAGAATGGTGGACCCGGGACCGGCCCGGGTACCCACCGGGTCCGGGCCGGGCCGGGCCTCCGGTTTGGATTTTTTTTTTTTTTTTTTGCTTTCCTAACCCCCCCCCCCCCCTCACCCCCACCCTCCCAAACACCCCCAAACCCATCCTACCCATCAAGCCCAACCCGGGTGGAACCCCAAAAATGAAAAAATATAAAAAAAATTCAATTTGGCCCGGGCCCGGGCCCGACCCGGCCGGGCCGGTTCACCAAAATTGAGACCCGAGCCCGGACCCGCCCTACCCCCGGGCCTAGGCCCGACCCGGACCCGGACCCGAGAACCGGGCCGGCCCCGGTCCCGCACAGTAGCGGGCCGGGCCGGTCCACGGGCCGGGTGGCCCGACCCGACTCCAAGCCTAAGTCAAAGTAGAGTACATGAATAGTGCATATAGTCCCATGTTGCAACTAATGCGATACGGAGGATAGTATACACTTACACAGTGAGCAACTTCAAACATAATCATTAAAGCCCTCATATTAGATCACATTAATATCTGGAACTCTTGAAGTAATACTTTCCTATGTAATCTGAATATATAAAAAAGCTAAAAGAAAAATATGAAAGATAATTGCCTCTTTGAAGGTAATAAAGTAAGCTGAATACAAAAACTACGCCTTCTGCACCCAGCTTACATTCTTAAAATGACGTTTTATAAGTGGGTGTAGAAAAAATTGTGTTATCTACTGACACTGTAATGGATGGTAGTATTTCATAATATTTGTCTACTTGTCTAGACTGATTAAAATCTTGAAATATTTGATGCATAGAGGCAAAATTACACCTTGAGCACTAGCCATCAATTTGCCCTTTGTGGCTCTATTGATGGTGAGTTAGTCCAAAAGGATGATATTAGCTATTCATTACTGTAGTTTGTAAATGGCACAGAGCGTAGTACACTTGTACATGTTAAATACAATCTCTTTTGATATCTTAGAGGACATACACTGGATGGCAGATGCTGGTTTTCTATTTTTAATTATTTCTTCGGTTCTTCCACATCATCATAGCAATTCAGTTCAACCAAGTTCCTCTCACACTTCCTGCCCAAAGGTTTTGGCTCCACTATCCCGTTTTTATATATCTATAGCTTATTATCTAATATTCAAAATTAATATTTTTCGTTGGTTAAATGTTATGTTTGAATGGGAAACATACTTTGTGTGCTTTTTTCTATAAGATAATGATATTTTTATTCAATCACGTTTAACTTTCAAAATATTTTGGGACTAAGGCTTCGATGTTGTTGTTTTAACTTTTAGAATCCATTTGAAGTTTCTCCACGCATGGAAAAGGTTTTGTGTGAGCGACTGTTGGATAAGAACCAACCTATTGCCGAGCGCTTCAGGGCCCTATTCTCTCTTCGCAATCTCCGCGGCACAGGGCCACGGCATGCTCTTATACATGGTTTGTTATGTCCCTAGTGAAAATTTTAAATTACCCCTTAAGTTATAGATTCAAGTATCAAGTATGTGTTCAATATGATCATGGCCTTCACATTGAAGTTCACTCTTGGTGTTAGTTGGAAGATCTTGAAACATTTACAAATGCTTTGTAGAAAAGAATATCCCAAGCCTTTTCCAAACTAAAACATTCTCTATCAGCCATGGGAATTAATATGTTTTTCACCAAGCTATATTATTATTAGTTCAACCTAGAAATAGGGTTGGAACTATAAGTGATTTACTAATGTTATAGTTCCCAATCTAATTGACCTAATATCCATTGTTTTTCATATGCTTTTTCGCTTCTTCTACTTCATTATCTAAGAGTCACTATTAGCAATTTTAGTTAATGAGTAAGCTTAGAATACCTATATATTCCTCTGTATCCCATGTTTGTGCAACTTATCACGTAGTAATGCATTTTTTTTCTTTCCCACTAATCCTTTTACCTAAGCAAAGTAGGTTAATTTCCATTCTTCAACTCTTGAAACTAGTTGAGAGTGAATAGATTGTATTCAGTTTTGTATCTACAATAGGATACAATGCCTCATTATATAGGCATGAAGGGAAGACCTAGTAAAAATTGGTTCGCTTCATATGCTCTGACTTCTCTCTAAAAAGCCTTCTCAAATCTGGTGGTGCCTTCTGTTTCAGCTCCGGCGGCAGGAGTATCTTGCTCTTATGCCTCCGTCGTTAACGTGGTCAAAGATGGAGTGACCCCATCAGAACTGTAAGGATGCTCTCTCTTACCCCCAAAATCCCCCTCTCAATTTAAAGGTGCTCCTGCTATTTTTTTCTCGAAGACCGATGTCTTTACTATCGCTAGTTCGCTACTAAGCATCCATATGCCCTAATTTTTTCTTTCACTATGCGTAGACCGTCTATGATTTCTCAGAGGAAATCACTAGAAGGTCTAGGCTTGTCTAATTGTTTTACTACTGGACTTAATGACGATAAGCATGTAGTCTTTGAATTTTGTTATGAATCTTATTTCCAGCGATTCTGGTTGAGGAAGACTTGGTGTTTAATGGTTTTGAAATCAGGGTCACATAATGGACCCCTGATTTCATGCCAAATACCGAATCTCCTATCACTCCAGTTTGAATCTCCTATCTACCCTAAGGCTCTCCCGGGCGTCCACGGCAAGGGTATGTATTGAGGGGGACATATCTGTTAACCTACCATCCAAAATTTGGATTGGTAATGGCTCTACCGGTTTTTTCCAATCGGTCAACTATGAGGAGGTTCCCTTATTCTGCAATGGATGTAAAATCTTTGGTCATAATATTAAAAGCTGCAAACAAGGGACTTCCGGTAGTGAACCTACTTCAAACAAGCCTCCCATCCAAAAATGGATCCCTAACAATCTATCCAGCGGTAAAACCCACCCAGTTGTCATTGATAATCCAGAGGTGACCTCCAATGATTCTGTTGAGGAGTAACACCCGACAGGCCTCAATAAAAATGATAATAATGCATTCCTTTTTGCTGAAACTGTAATTGAGCTTAATATTATCCAAGTTCTTGCAAATGTTATGGAGCCTGCTGCCAAGGAGCATGATGTTCCCTATACTACTACTGAGCCTCTTATTATTGCGCCTACTATTGTCTCTGCTAATACTAATGACTCACCTACTATCAAGGAGCATGATGTTCCCTATGCTATTGAGCCTCCTATTATTGCGCCTGTACATGTTTTGGAGCCTACTATTGTATCTGCCAAGACTAATGAGTCATGTACGAAGGCCCCAGAAGTTATTGCTAACATCAAAGAACCATGTGCTACTGCTCTTAAGGTACACTCCTGATGATAATTTTCACTTGTCCAATGATGCAAACAATAAAAGTAGGGCAGAAGAGTTATCACTAGCTCCCCTCTTCTATAACCCAGCTAAGGAAAATCCCTCCCAAAACACTCCCTCTATGGAATGGCTAATAACCCAGTCCACAAAATCCTTGACCTGTTATGAATCCCGACCCCAAAATGATTTTGGAGATGATGAACTGGACAATCTATCCCTAATAGACATACCGATAGAAGAGGGTACTTTAGATGGCTTCACTCTGGTGGTTCCGAGAAAAAATAAAAGAAAGATTCAACTGCAACAAGCAGCGTCAATTCAGGTGCCAAAGGACAATATTAGAGGCTATAATCAGCACATGCTAACAAGAAGTAAAGCCGGACGAAGAAAGTTTGAATTCTATGTCTATCCCGAAGAACTCAAATATGAATCGCCTCAAAAACTGGTGCAAGGACTAGCCTGGTATTGCCAATCACATCCGGAGGCAAAGTTTTACGCTCCATACATTCTATGGGCGATCAAATTTCATCACAAAGACATGTCAATGTAGGCCGGTCTCCCTGACAACTTTAACTTTAGGGTCAATTAGTTGTCTCTGTAACTATTTTCATTTTTGTATCTTTAAGTTTGCCTTTCCTGGGCAAGGTTTTATGGCCCCCCCAATTGCATCTTCAGTTAATACAATAAGGTAAACGCTTCCTGGCATTTACCCCATTTTAAAAAAGGCATGAAAGAAAAAATTTAGGGGGGAAACTTGGCACAAAACCATTTTTACTAAAACCATGTGCTACGTCAAAGGCTAACTTAAGTCTCATTGAGTCCCTTTTTACACATCTCAGTCTAACTTTTCATGAAGGCGTGATGTGGCCACCAGCCACCAATTAGCCATCTGACTGTTGCTTATGTCATCTAAGTTAGAAACACAAAAAATCACATTGGTGATTGGTTTTCATTCCCTTCATCATTACAATTCATCAGAACTCTAATTCATTACCTAATAGTAAATAAAATATTTGTTATTTTGGATTCAGTTCTCTGGCGTGAAGCACTTATGTAATAGCCAAAAGTTAGACTGAAAATTAAAGATATTAACATAGAAGGGCTCTTTGGAGTTTAAGTGACTACTTATTATGCTCATCAGGTCCCATTAGAAATTGAGGGATTTAGAAATATGTTTTTCCGCTTTTAGGATTTGTTTTATCCTCATCCCAAATAGTTGGGGTCGGTGGCTTAAATCTATAGTTCTAGTTAATTTCCTAAAATTAGATTAGTGGTATTGATTAATTTATGGATGCATTTAAAAACACTTCCTCTATTTTACTCGTTTCTCTCATTTAATCGAAGCTGACTCGCTTCAATAAAATACTTCCTCATATTACAGTATTTACTAGCTCCACTCTCCATTATGTGTAACTTTTTCTACCTTTTAATCTCTAAAAAACACAAGTATTTGTGCCTTTTATCCTGTCTTTCCAATTTTACTTTTAATTCCCGAGTTTAAATTGTTAGCAAAAGTGAAGGGAGTATGGTTCAAGAAAATAAATCAACATTTCATATGTATTCAATATCATGTTTTCATGAGGGTTTTAGGCGTAATCTATTTGGTCTTTCGACGCCAAATGTAGTGGTTACATCACCAATAGCAGCCCTTTCAATGAGCAAATGGAGAATCGGGTTTAATATGGTTGATTCTTTCAAGAATATTTGGGTTCAAAACCAAAAGGGGAACTCTTGCATATGATTGGGAGCATATCCTCTCTTTACTCTTAATTCACAAGTTAAAACCCTTAGCAAAATTGAAGGAAGTAGGGTTTACGAATACAAGTCAGCATTTCCTTTAAACTGGAGAATCACAAGCCCAATAACTTATGGGCCGGCCCATAACTAAATAATTCTGTTAGGGTTCTGTGATTGAGAACGGGTCCAGAGACGACTTGGGGTAGCAGGGTACCTGGTTGAGGTCGTAACCTGCCGGTTAGGGTTACTCTTATTCTTGCCCGTGGCTGGAAGAGCGCGGGGGAGGGGAGCGAGAGAGAGTCCGTGGCTTCTTTGGGAACAATTTCTGATGATCGATGATTTCATTAAGGCTGAATAAAGAATTATAAATAGGCATCCTGCTTTTACATGATATAGTTCTAGTCTAACTAAAATTGTAACCTCTAAATGCTTCTATTACTAATAGGAAATAATAAATAAATAAATAAATAAAATATAAAAATAGCATTAGGATAGATTCCTCTTCCAATTAAACTTCCCGCTGGCCCATATGTTTCCTCCTGCGATAGGGAATTCCATAAAATGCATCCTTAACATCACTCCTTCCATCGAAACTGAGCTTGTCCCCAAGCTCAAATCCTGGATAAGCAGCAATAAAAGTGTCAAACAGCTCCCAAGTTGCCTCCTCAGTTGTGTGGCCTTGCCAATGGACTAACAGCTCCTTCTCTCTTCTGTTTAAACAACAGTGAAGAACATTGGCTGGCAGTGGCAGGGCCTTGCCGTCCTTCAGCGGTGGGAGTAGCCCTGGTGCTGGTGGAACACTCCCTTGATGAGGCTTTAGTAAAGAGACATGAAAAGTGTTGTGTATTTTGCTTCCTGGTGGTAACTCCAACTGATATGCCACACTGCCCACCTTTGCTAATATTTTAAATGGCCCATAAAATTTCGGAAGCAGTTTGTGTTGCTTAGAGCGACCTACTGTGAGTTGTCGATACGGTTGTAGTCGCAGTCACACCCAATCACCTACATTAAACTTCAAGTCCCGATGATTATTGTCACATGCTCTCTTCATGCGCTGTTGGGACAACAATAACTGCTCTCTTGCGGTGGTTACGAGCTCATCACAATTAATGAGTTCCTTATCAACTGCCTCCAGTCGTGTGGAGCCTGCAGAATAAGCCAATAACCGAGGTGGTTCTCAGCCATATACCAAGCGAAAGGGTGTTTCTCCTAGTGATGTATGGAAGTATTGTAACAAAATTCAATCCACGGTATCCATTGCACCCATTTTGTTGGCTTCTCTCCTGTCATGCATCGCAAGTACATCTCTATAGTGCGATTAACGACCTCGATTTGTCCATCAATCTGCGGATGATAAACGGACGAAAAGGTGAGCTTAGTTCCAGACAGACGAAACAATTCTCTCCAAAATGTACTCATGAAA